TGAGATATCCAACACGTTGCTCCTCAACCAGCTGGCACTCTCTAATGTGCTAGCCGAGCGGGACTCAGGCACAACAGGTAAGAGAAATACGTACTAAATATTAATTCATTTGCGAAGTGGGCGAGTGAGTTAGCATTCTGTCGAAGCAACAACATCGAGATGGATCTGGTGTTGGAGCGTCTTAGCACAAATAGGAGTAAGAATGAGTAAAGATGAGTAAAGAGCAACAGTTCAGGTGTTGTGTGGCAGCTGACGTGAGGAAATGTGAGTGAAGAAGCTGCCGTAGTATTCACAATATTCAGGTCAATTGTGGTATTCGAGGCGGAGGTCTTGCAGATTTTCTATTCACGGGGAGATCAGCATTAATGATGCTGTCTTGGTCCTCACGGGGAGAACAGCATTAAGGATGCTGTGTTAGGCCTCACGGAAGAACAGCATTAAGGATGCTGTCTTGGTCCTCACGGGAGAACAGCATTAAGGATGCTGTCTTGGTCCTCACGGGAGAACAGCATTAAGGATGCTGTCTTGGTCCTCACGGGGAGAACAGCATTAAGGATGCTGTGTTAGGCCTCACGGAAGAACAGCATTAAGGATGCTGTCTTGGTCCTCACGGGAGAACAGCATTAAGGATGCTGTCTTGGTCCTCACGGGAGAACAGCATTAAGGATGCTGTCTTGGTCCTCACGAGAGAACAGCATTAAGGATGCTGTCTTGGTCCTCACGGGAGAACAGCATTAAGGATGCTGTCTTGGTCCTCACGAGAGAACAGCATTAAGGATGCTGTCTTGGTCCTCACGGGGGAACAACATTAAGGATGCTGTCGTAATGTTCACGGGAGATCAGCATTAAAGATGCTGTCTTGGTCCTCACGGGGGAACAGCATTAAGGATGCTGTCGTAATGCTCACGGGAGATCAGTATTAAGGATGCTGTCTTGGTCCTCACGGGGGAACAGCATTAAGGATGCTGTCGCAATGCTCACGGGAGATCAGTATTAAGGATGCTGTCTTGGTCCTCACGGGGGAACAGCATTAAGGATGCTGTCGTAATGCTCACGGGAGATCAGTATTAAGGATGCTGTCTTGGTCCTCACGGGGGAACAGCATTAAGGATGCTGTCGCAATGCTCAGGGGAGATCATATTAAGGATGCTATCTTGGTCCTCACGGGAGAACAGCATTAAGGATGCTGTCTTGGTCCTCACGGGAGAACAGCATTAAGGATGCTGTCTTGGTCCTCACGAGAGAACAGCATTAAGGATGCTGTCTTGGTCCTCACGGGGGAACAGCATTAAGGATGCTGTCGTAATGCTCACGGGAGATCAGTATTAAGGATGCTGTCTTGGTCCTCACGGGGGAACAGCATTAAGGATGCTGTCGCAATGCTCACGGGAGATCAGTATTAAGGATGCTGTCTTGGTCCTCACGGGGGAACAGCATTAAGGATGCTGTCGTAATGCTCACGGGGGAACAGCATTAAGGATGCTGTCTTGGTCCTCACGGGGGAACAGCATTAAGGATGCTGTCTTGGTCCTCACGGGGGAACAGCATTAAGGATGCTGTCTTGGTCCTCACGGGGGAACAGCATTAAGGATGCTGTCTTGGTCCTCACGGGGGAACAGCATTAAGGATGCTGTCTTGGTCCTCACGGGGGAACAGCATTAAGGATGCTGTCTTGGTCCTCACGGGGGAACAGCATTAAGGATGCTGTCTTGGTCCTCACGGGGGAACAGCATAAGGATGCTGTCTTGGTCCTCACGGGGGAACAGCATTAAGGATGCTGTCTTGGTCCTCACGGGGGAACAGCATTAAGGATGCTGTCTTGGTCCTCACGGGGGAACAGCATTAAGGATGCTGTCGCAATGCTCACGGGAGATCAGTATTAAGGATGCTGTCTTGGTCCTCACGGGGGAACAGCATTAAGGATGCTGTCGTAATGCTCACGGGGGAACAGCATTAAGGATGCTGTCTTGGTCCTCACGGGGGAACAGCATTAAGGATGCTGTCTTGGTCCTCACGGGGGAACAGCATTAAGGATGCTGTCTTGGTCCTCACGGGGGAACAGCATTAAGGATGCTGTCTTGGTCCTCACGGGGGAACAGCATTAAGGATGCTGTCTTGGTCCTCACGGGGGAACAGCATTAAGGATGCTGTCTTGGTCCTCACGGGGGAACAGCATTAAGGATGCTGTCTTGGTCCTCACGGGGGAACAGCATTAAGGATGCTGTCTTGGTCCTCACGGGGGAACAGCATTAAGGATGCTGTCTTGGTCCTCACGGGGGAACAGCATTAAGGATGCTGTCTTGGTCCTCACGGGGAGAACCGCATTAGGGATGCTCTCTTAACACGCACAAGGGAAACAAGGACACTCTTGAGTCACTCTTCAAACTAAGAACCCTAAGGAGGCAGAAAGTTATATTAAATGAGTCTTCTTTATTTGTCCAAATAGCAAGTAAAGTTCACCTTAAAAGGAAGTGGTGGAAGCAGGTCATATTTATATACATATCCATTTAACCCCTTTTTTGCCCCTCTTTATCTGTAGGGGACTCCTTTCTTATTCTTGAATACTTGTCAACTGGCCTTTATTGTTATGTTCTTGGTGGTCAGGTGACCTACCCAGGTCACCTGACCACTACATATATATATATATATATATATATATATATATATATATATATATATATATATATGCAAATATATATTTGCATATATATATCCAAACATATATATGCAAACAAGCCTGAATGGTCCCCAGGACTATATGCGACTGAAAACTCACACCCCAGAAGTGACTCGAACCCATACTCCCAGGAGCAACGCAACTGGTAACTACAGGGCGCCTTAATCCGCTTGACCATCAAGGCCGGACAAAAGGAAGTGATAGCCAAGGCTATTTGAACCACTTCCCCGCCGGCAACTCGGATGATAATCTTGGGCATAGCATTTCACCAAATCACCTCATTCTTTGGGGCACACGTGAGGAACACAAATGCGAACAAGCCTGAATGGTCCCCAGGACTATATGCGACTGGAAACTCACACCCCAGAAGTGACTCGAACCCATACTCCCAGGAGCAACGCAACTGGTAACTACAGGGCGCCTTAATCTGCTTGACCATCACGGCCGGACAAAAGGAAGTGATAGCCAAGGCTATTTGAACCACTTCCCCGCCGGCAACTCGGATGGTAATCTTGGGCATAGCATTTCACCAAATCACCTCATTCTTTGGGGCACACGTGAGGAACACAAATGCGAACAAGCCTGAATGGTCCCCAGGACTATATGCGACTGAAAACTCACACCCCAGAAGTGACTCGAACCCATACTCCCAGGAGCAACGCAACTGGTAACTACAGGGCGCCTTAATCCGCTTGACCATCACGGCCGGACAAAAGGAAGTGATAGCCAAGGCTATTTGAACCACTTCCCCGCCGGCAACTCGGATGGTAATCTTGGGCATAGCATTTCACCAAATCACCTCATTCTTTGGGGCACACGTGAGGAATACAAATGCGAACAAGCCTGAATGGTCCCCAGGACTATATGCGACTGAAAACTCACACCCCAGAAGTGACTCAAACCCATACTCCCAGGAGCAACGCAACTGGTAACTACAGGGCGCCTTAATCCGCTTGACCATCACGGCCGGACAAAAGGAAGTGATAGCCAAGGCTATTTGAACCACTTCCCCGCCGGCAACTCGGATGGTAATCTTGGGCATAGCATTTCACCAAATCACCTCATTCTTTGGGGCACACGTGAGGAACACAAATTCGAACAAGCCTGAATGGTCCCCAGGACTATATGCGACTGAAAACTCACACCCCAGAAGTGACTCGAACCCATACTCCCAGGAGCAACGCAACTGGTAACTACAGGGCGCCTTAATCCGCTTGACCATCACAGCCGGACAAAAGGAAGTGATAGCCAAGGCTATTTGAACCACTTCCTCGCCGGCAACTCGGATGGTAATCTTGGGCATAGCATTTCACCAAATCACCTCATTCTTTGGGGCACACGTGAGGAACACAAATGCGAACAAGTCTGAATGGTCCCCAGGACTATATGCGACTGAAAACTCACACCCCAGAAGTGACTCGAACCCATACTCCCAGGAGCAACGCAACTGGTAACTACAGGGCGCCTTAATCCGCTTGACCATCAAGGCCGGACAAAAGGAAGTGATAGCCAAGGCTATTTGAACCACTTCCCCGCCGGCAACTCGGATGATAATCTTGGGCATAGCATTTCACCAAATCACCTCATTCTTTGGGGCACACGTGAGGAACACAAATGCGAACAAGCCTGAATGGTCCCCAGGACTATATGCGACTGAAAACTCACACCCCAGAAGTGACTCGAACCCATACTCCCAGGAGCAATGCAACTGGTAACTACAGGGCGCATATATATATATATATATATATATATATATATATATATATATATATATATATATATATATATACATAATCATTGAAAACGACAGAAAGTTTTAGATCTATGATTCTGGTACGAATCATAATTTAACTATTTATGAACTATTCACTCTAACCCACCATGAGAGTAAGAACAAGACCGAAACTTGAAGATGCCAGTTTAAAAGACACTGTTCAACAAGTCACGCCCACTACACCTAATTAATCTTTGTATATATTTTGTATCCTATTTACGTCTTATCCTTCACACTTTATGCCTTACTCTTCTCTCTTTTATGCCTTATTCTTGATCCATTTGTTTAGACCTATAAACCTCATTGTTCGACCCATTTGTCTACACCTGACCCCATTATTTGATCCATTTGTCTACACCTAACCCCATTATTTGATCCATTTGTCTACTCCTGACCCCATAATGGTATAAATCCAATATGCCCTGTACTGTCCCATAACGTAAGAATGAACCATGTAGATTCGAAACGTTGAGTAATTTTATAATAAGTGTAGTACATTCAACAGTTATTTATTTACTAGCTGTACCCGGCCACGCGTCGCTTTTTTTTTTTTTTTTTTTTTTTTCTTTTTAGCAGGGATAATCCTGCGCGGGCCCTAAGCCTCTGGCTGGCCCACTAAGTGATGC